TATTACTGCTATTAATTTCCACAGTGCCTTAATCTGGGACTCTCTAAATTCTTAATAGACATTAATCTGTCCCCTATGGAATATTATGAATTGTTATGAATCCACTTTTCAAGTAAAGGAAAACAAGATACAGAAAAGTTAATGAATTTCACACGGTCAGGCATATCCTTCCTGTCAACACTGATATTTTTAAGTGGTTTCAGGAATGGAATGTTTAACTAACTCAGCTATAAGGTGTTTACTGTTAGTATAATAATCAATGATTGTCCCTAACGGATCAGTTTTCTAATGCAGATAGGACTGAAGCATATGATGGAGGCAGCCATAAAAGACTGGCCTCTTCACCCTCTGTACTATGCCTGTATAAACACCCTTCATGCATGTAACACATGATTTACTTCCTGACAGGCCTTTGTATCTTTTAAAATCTCTCTATATGTACAAGAGCATTTTTTACTTGAAGTTCAAGGTAGTGAAAAGGGAAAAAAGGAAAGCTCTAACTGTGTTTTCTTTAAATTTAAGGCATAGAGTGGTTCGATTTAGTCTACAGATGATATTGAACCACAAATCTTCAGAAGTATATATCAAGATTGTCATAATTCATTATGGTCTTCTTCTGTACATGGTCAAGCAAATAATGAGGTTAAAATACTGCGGTCTATTCCACCTCACACATACCACAGAATGAATGGAATGTTCTTTACTGTTCAGCTCTAGCTGTAATAGGAAGTACACAGAGGTTAGCTAATAGCTGAATCCTAATTCATGGCTCAGTAACTGGAAGTTGCAAATTTCCTGGTGTTTCTATGAGTTCAAGCATGCTTCCCATTATCTTGGACATGGCACAAAGCGTCCGGGTTACCAGGAGGAATGAGAGGATGCTGATGACCCTCCTGGCCGTTGCAATGGAGGCCATCCATCGTGGCTGTGCAGCTTGTATTGTGCTATTGTACCCCAACTTTTCTACTGTTTGGATACTCTAGAAATGCAGTAGGGAGCTACGGCACTGACTAGTTTTCAGTGTCTTGGTTTCTAGATTTGTTACGTCATTTAGAGGGGAATGTCTTGTTAGGCAGTCATCTTGAAGTCGTCCTTCATTTCAGCTAGCTTAAGATAAAAAGAAATTATTTATTCGCAAGATTAAAAATAGGCAACAGAATTACAAAGGTTTATAGAAGACATAAGTGAAAAAGTAAAAGAAACATTTAAACTACATATACTAATTTCAATAATATCCTTGATGTCAAAAGTCCTGTCTTTCTATATATCTTACGCTCATGCTATACCATTAGAAAATCTCTCTTTTAATGTGGCATATTAGCTTGCATAGCCGATCTCTTGTATAGCATTTGAAGTCCTTCTGGGGAGGTCCAGACAGATTTAATCTTATTCCACAGAATTTATTTTATTTCCTCTTAATCCAAGAGATGGTCTGGCCATTTTTTAAAATTCAAATAAGCAGTTTCATTTGCCAGAAGATATGAATGCTTCTTTGTTAGAACAGATGTCATTTACTACAGTGATTGTCTATTTAATGACTGCTTGCCTTAACAAGGGGTATAACTTGCCCCTTCATCCCTTTGGTAATTTTGATGCTTCAGCATAAAGTGTTTCCTCTATTGAACATTAATTCTATGATGTCAATTGGTTTGCTCACAAAAACGCTCGATACAAATATCTGCATGGGATAAATATGTTTATCTTATGACTGGATATTGACTGCACTCAGACACAAAGGTAAATGAAGGCACTGGGATGACAATCTATCTCCCACATATTCCCTGGACTTTTCTGTCTTTAAGTAAATGAAGATTTTGGGCCCAGTTCCTTAATGGCTGCAAACTGACCTACTTGCATGGACTCTAGAGACTGAGGACAGGGCTAAGTTGTCTTTAAATAAATAAATAAATGTGTATATAAGTAAAAATAGCCTGGAAGAACGGTAGACTTTTTTAGCTTATTGACTAAACTAAAATGTAAGACAAAAAGTTTAGTCTTGATTTGAAATGTACAATTTTTGTTGTCTTGTCAAAAAAACCCCCCACAAACCTCTTAGGTCAAACAAAAATGTGCATTTGTGCCATATTTAAATATTTAGGTATTTTTAAACATAAAAAGGCAAGTTTTGAAATGAAAATTTATTTAGCTATTTTAAAAAGGAGATGTTAATTTTTTCCTAGTTCTTTTTCAAATGTAACACATTGATGACAATTGTTTTGTGAATCAGACCAGTTTGCCCTGCTCCAAATATACTAATATTATTGGCTGAAGAGATAAATTAAAATCTGAGCATAAGAAAATTATGAATTCATTAGTTGTAACACATTTGGAGTCTTGACAAAATAATTTTATTACTAAAAATTGCAAAAGAATGGATTTTTTGATGATGACTCTGGAAACAATTCTTATGGAAAAAAACCCACAATTCTTTATAAATATAATCAACAGTTTACAGTAAAAGGAGGACATTTCTCAAAAATAGCAAACAAAATCAGTCAGAGACAGTTCTGTGCATTAAAGAACTTCTGAATGTTTTTTTTACTACGACTGAGTCTCCAGCTGTTTGAGTGAAGCAATAACTGACGCTTCAAAGTATAAAAGTCTCTAATAATGCTAAAAGAAGAGAAAAAAATATTTCTCCTTAGCAATCCAAGTAAGTGCATGAATATTTTTCGGATATGTTTGTTTATTTTGTTCTAATATAAAAGTGTTTCTCCTACAACATGCAAAACTTAATACCGTCTCTCATTATAGCACTGGGACTATCACGAATGATCAACTTTGCTTGCTTCTCCTATTGTATTGCTTTCATTTTACGTATTACTTAGAAATAACTTACTCTGTGGGATGTGTTGACCATGGCCCTACAATCCACAGTGAGGTTCTCTCTAGGGGATGAATTGTGCAATACCAGTTCATCTTTAGAAACAGGAAAATATTACTCCCTTCCTCTGATTAGCTCCTCATTTAAAAAAATGCTTTACAATTTTTCTGTAATTTGCAAATGTCAAACCAAATTCCCCACCAATATAAATAGGTACAACTTAGTTGCCTTAATTTCCTTGACAACAATTTGCAAATTTCTCTCTTCAATGTTATTTCCTGCTCTCCATTTAGATTTGGCTCTCTAGTATCTCAAAAATATTTATTTTTTAACTATCCTTACCCGGTATCATTGAAATAATTAAATCCTAACATCTTAATGCCATAGTATTCCTTCACGTTCAAATTTCTCGTCACGTACATCAGTCTGGTATCGGCCATTATCACTTCTGGGTGCCAACGTATCTAGTCTAGATATGAGGTCTACTACAATGTTAAATGCTTTTATGAAGTACATTTGCGTATGATTCAAAAAACGAGTGAAGTAGTCTCCATGGCATGTGATAGCAGCAGCTCCATTAGTTACCATGGAATATATTTTACAGTTTGCGAAAAATAAATGCACTAAATATCAAACCCTAAACTGCCAGGTTTATCTCACAATCAGATAATGGTTTCGTTATAATTTTGTTTGTTGTTTAGGCATTCCTTAACAAATTCTCTTCACTAAGTGGACTGAATTTGACTCCTTATTGCCAAGACCAAGCTACACGAAAATTTTAAATGAGGTGGAAGGAGTCAAAACTCCTTTCCAAAATGATAAAACTAATCTCTGGTTAAAGGTGCAGATACAAAAAAGGCTTTGGGAAAGGTCTGACTCGGATTTGAATCAAGAGAATTTGGTTTCAGGAAGCACCACATCATGATCCTCTTCTTTAATAGCAGTACCTATTGATCCTGTTGAAAACTGGATCCCAACTACAAGGCAATGAAGCTGTCCTAATGGCTTGAGCGCTGTTTGGGAACTGACATGAAGTAGAGTTAAGTAGAAGTGTGGTTTGCTTTCATCTATCTTCATCATCTCCTTGTTATCTATTTACTGTTGTCTCTAAACCTACTAAGTGCATTATTAGCGGATTTTAGTGAAAGAATTGTTTATTTTCTCTACATTAACATTTGTCAGCTATTACAGTCAGCTTCAGATTAACCAGGAAATAACATGGCATTCTACGCTTATGGATGAAACATTCCTTAAAAACAAGGCACTGGACCAATCTTGAGCTCAATGATGCAAAAACTGAAGGGAATTAAAGACATACTAGCGCTACTCTTCCGAAGAGCTGCGTGATTCAGTTTGGGAGCTGATACTGCAGGATGCAAACTGGAAGAAAGTGCTTCCGTTAGCAAGGGGCTGTCTGGGGAACACAGCAGGTCAGTGGTGAGAGTATTCAGCCCTGAAGAGCCTCCGGCTGGTTTGGTTAATTTGTTTCGTATGGCCCTCAGGCTTCACACTAGTCACTACTGGTTTATAGCTCATGCCCAGACCTGAGTTATTGGAAACTCTTTTCTTCCATGAAAACGTCTCTTTTCCTCCTCTTCCTTTTCTTCTGCTTCCTCCTCGTAGTCTTTCATGTGATCCAAAACCCACCTTATCTCATCTAGTGCTTCTAACCTGTCTTGAAATTCCTTCAGATGTTCCTTTTCTGCCTGTGTCAAATGCACATTGTTTGTCCTTCCTAGAAAACCTTTCAAACTTGGCCCATATTACCTCCTCTTCTCCTAGAAGTAGGTCTCATGTTCTTTTACGCCACAGTACTCTCAGGGCTGACCTGATAGTAATCATTAATAGAGTAAACCATAAAACAAAGAAGTAAATGTACTTTGATAAGTAAGTAAGTCAAAAACTGACGTGTTAAATGTTGCTTGTGCTTTTTGGATTTGCATCGCTGCAGAGAGCTCCAACGTTGGAAGTACGGAAATGTAAAAAGAGAGTAAATTATAGCCCAGCTTAACAATATCTACTAAAGAGAGGGAAATGGCAATAGCCCTGGCTAGAAGAGGGGAGAAAGCGGGAAGCAGCTGCAGCGCTGGTTAGGAGGCAGCAATATAGCTTGAGGACAGTAGTGCGAGAAAGCAGGCGGGGACCTGGGTGAGCAGCTGCGAAGGGTTCCTACGAGATGGTGAAAGCAGCAGGAGAAAGGAGGATGTGGGACAATGGTGGCAGTGACATACAAAAAGGTTCAGAATTACTGTGTCGGATTGCCGTAACCGACTTAACGTGTTTCTGAGATGGCTCCCAAAAAGGCGAAATCTATGACTTACTGCCATCTACTGGAATATAGTATTCACGTCTAATTCACGTTTTACTGATACAACTACATTTAATTGTTTTAAATATTCCTTTACCAAGATGTGAAGTAAGAAATCCTCCCCAAAGCCCATAAAAAAAGAAAAAAAGGTCTCAGATGCAACGTAGGCCTGGGGAAGGCTGTCCAAAGGCAGCAAGGTTGCTGCTTTCTGAGGTGCCAAAACGACGACCGTGATTTCCCGAGAAAGCTCAACCTTGCATCACCTAGAAAGGAACGTTAATATTATGTTTCTTACACGCCTCCTAGTCAGGACTGGTTTCATTCAGTTAGGCCTTATCTGATGCCTACTGCTTTGCTGTCCTCTGTGAGAGATTCACTACTGAGTGTCACTGCGGCTCACGTTGCGCGTGGCTCCACAATCCGACGACACGCAGTGCCCTATTTTCAAAGCACAGAGTTAGCTCCGGCCAGAGCAGCAGCCCTCAACAAAGCAACTCCAAGCTCGGGACAGCTCGTATTCCCCCGCGCCGGCACGGAGGCGTTCGCTGCCTGCTTT